GGACGACGTCTCCGGTCGTCGTGTTCGTTTCTTTTTGGTTGCCAAGTCCTTCGCTCTCAATTGATCCGACGCTCCCTTTGAGTAGGCTGGAATTATTGATTTGATCATACCTCTCCCAGTGCTATCAATGCTGCTATCTCTTGCACTTGTAATTCCCTCGTAGGAGTCAATCAGCGCAAATGCCTCCTCGAGAATTGCTGTGTCATCACTTTGGCTAAGTGATATCCGCATGCTCTCGACTTCTTTCTGAAACACGCTATCATAAATGGAGAACATTCGGAGGATGTTCTGGTTTCCTGGGAAGACGCAAGGAGTTTCACAACCGACACTATTCTCGTCTCGGACCAGAGGGCGAGGACAACACAGAGCAGAGAATCAAGAAGCGTAGTTTAGTCACTTTTCCTTTTCCTCTGAACGATAAGAACAACCAAACAGCCTTCCACCTCTTCCATAGAATGGCTATGTCTAGCGTCACTCCCGGTGCTCTTGCCTTTGTGGGACCGCCCCACCTACCATCCCTGGAAGGCTTTTCCTACCTCTCTATTGTTCGGGTCCAAGGCAATTCAGCTATCGTGAGGAAGACCGGGCCGGACACGAGTGACGACGGACCAGAATTCGACGTCAAACTGGCCGTGCTGCGCCATCGCATCGTCGAATCCGTGGAGGCAGAATTGTGGCCAGGATCCTACGTAGGCCACCCCATCGCGTTTGTCCAGTCGGCCGGAGATAGCAGCGACCAATGGGCCTACGGACTCGTTACAGGATATTCGATGCAAGACCATACTGCGCAGCTCCACGTCCGCCATGAGGCACAAACATTATGCGTGCAGCTTCATAGTACGTCGACGGTAATTGCAGTCGACCGCCTCAATTACGCTCATCAAACGGGGGTTCGGTGAATAGTATGGTCCTTAATGCATTGGAGCTACTGGACAAGCAGAACCAAGTAATCGTGGCATGTGGCAAGAGCAGGTCCGATTTACCGTCAAGTGTGACATCGACCCTGCTTAGTGTTCCGTACAAACCTGATCAACGTGTTCCCCTAATACGACCGGACACACTCGCAATCGTGTACGTCCGCCGACAACACATCGTGGACTGCGAGTTGACTGCCCGAGGCAAAACCTCAGCTGATGTGTTTAAGGACCCTGTACTGGAGGAGAAGGAGGCTGCTCCAGACACCAGAACTAACACCGTTATGCCAAACGTTTCGACTAACGACGTTGATTCAACATTCAGTGATTCAGATGACGAAGGAAACGCCAGTGCTAACACATCGAGGCAAGCGGACATGGACTTGGTTCGGCTTCAGAACCGGCCTCTACACAAACGAGCGCGATACGCCGACACGGATATTCATGAACTGTTCATGACAAGCGATGCCGACGTTCCGACATTGGAGACGCGTGCGGATATTCACTCCTCGATGTTATAAGTTCGCAACGCCATCGCGCACCCTGCAACGTTAGGTAAAAACGCTCAAGCTGTTCTTGAAGCTGCTCAACAAGCCCGGCACACCAGATTTCTCGCAACACACCAGTTCTCCGTGCGGCATATGACCTCAGTTTTGGTATCAGAGGCTTATCCCTGATGCACTTCCGACGTTTCTTCGAAGGGGTCGAGGCGCAGTATACCACAGACGCTGTTAATATGGCCAACTTCGGGCGCTCCAAACTCCCTCCAACCTGCGAACCCGCCAGCCAACATCGGAGAGATTGTCGATGCCTTTGACAATCTGCTGTACTTCGCAAAAGGTTTTTACAATACAACCGTCTGCGACTTCATCAAGACGGGATCCGAGTTTATTGTGGAGTATGCAGCCTTCGCGCGACCCGATGCCTCCACCTGCACTATGCTGGTGTACTGGATAAACTCGAAGCTAGGGAGTTTCGAAGTCTGATTATAGCATCCAATATCCAAGCGGCAGCTCTCATGGGTCGAGAGTTCACGCGGAGTGATGGCCTTCTCATGGAGCTGTACCAGGGCCAACAAGATCGCCGTGTGGCGGCTATAGTCGCATCCGGACCAACACGTCTAGCCCCAAGCACTAAGCAGCACCATCCTCGCGAACACAAGACTGCTAAAGCCTCGATGGTACCTAAGGAACATCTCGCTGTGCTTCCCAAACAAGGCAACAAAGTGATGTGCATGCGATATCTGTCGAAGAAAGGCTGCACTGGACCAGTACCATGGAAGTGCTTTGACCCCAACCGCGCGCACTTTAAGCCGTTAGCCTTACCGGCCGACGCAAAGTCCTGGATCGATAAACACTTTCTCGGTCTAGCCTCTGACTTCAGTGATCTATGACGCCAAACGCCTAAATCGGCCGGAACCACAGCGCCAAACCCTGCCACTGGTCGGCGGCGTGAAGAACAACAGGCATTCTCCAATTCAGTACAGATATCCCCACGAGAACAGTCGCTGGGTGAACAACATCAGAATGCGCAGGCATCTACAGCTCATACGTCGTTCCATCGTCAACAGCAACAGGCATACATAACGTTTCAAAAATCTCAACTTAAAGCCAGCAACCAGCTTGAAATCTCACGTCATCGTCGGTATCAACAACTCGCGTCGATATATAATGTGGAATTATCCGCACAACGAGAAGTGCCGCTTGAAGGTCTCGACGTTGATCGAATTCGTGCTGACTTGCAACTTGCAAGGGCGCTGAAGCAACCTCTCGGGCAATTTGTACGGGTCTTTCGTGGTGAAACAGCAGAGGACACCCGTCCGAACAAGGATTTATTTGAACTCCCACTGCCAGCAGACGCAACCTTGCGTGCAACCACGGTGCGATGGAACGAAATAGTTCGGGACGGAGTTAAGCCACGGTGGAAGACGCATCGGCCCAAAGAACAGCAGCAACACCCTTCGAACCATCAGACGATCAACAAGCACTTAGATCGTATCCGAAAACACATTGCCAAAGGGCACCGGGAAGGACGATATTTAGTGGTGAATGCAGATTTGTCGGACCTATGGACCGATATCTTCATAAGCCCGATTGGGGTTGTCGAAAAAGCAGGATCGCCTCAAGACGTCCGAGTGATCAACGACTACTCATTCCCGATGGGAGCTGCCGTAAACGACTTCACCGATCGGTGTAACTTTCCCGATGTCAGCTACAACCCGCCGAAGGATATAGCACGTCGTATATGGGAACTTCGAATCCGATTCCCGGGTCATCCTCTGCTTATGATGATAGGAGACGTCTCTGGAGCCTTTCGTCATATCCCTATCAACGCCGACCACGTGCACATGTTTGCCTTCCATTTCGACGGCTTCATCGTTATTGACCTGTCCTGTGGATTTGGTTGGTGTGGGTCCCCGGCTTTCTACTCCGTAGCCGGATCTCTCATCAATGCACTCTACGAAAGTCAGCGTCCACCTGCGAATCTCGCGCCGATCGACAGCAGTCAGTTCGTCGGGAACGTGTGGTGTGATGACCATACCTGTATTGAAATTGCAACTGGACCAAGGTGTATGCAAGCGGACATCGCACTACGGAAAGCCATGACTCAGGTACTCGGCCCACGAGCACTGAACGAAGACAAGTTTACACAGCGGTCGACGAAAACCAAAGCGCTTGGACTGCTTTGGAACACAGAAAATGGCACAGTCTCTGTGCCCACTCAAAAGATCGACAAAGCGCGATGCCGGTTTGACGACCTTTTGACAGCAGCAACATGTTCCCTCTCGTCAATTAGTAAGCTGGTTGGAAGCCTACGCTACGTATCGACTTGTTTTCCAGCAGCACGATCCTTCTATCAAAATGTCCAGGTATTTGCTTCGACGTTTCACAGCCCACACGAGCGCAGACGTGTGCCTGCCGATGTGCGCGAGGACTTGGAATGGTTCCGTGCAGTACTTACCGTCGAACACCAGTTTAACTCAATTCCAGTCGAGCATTTCGCGAGACTTCAGCCCCCAACTTACCACGTCATGATGGACGCATCGGATACCGGTATCTGTGCGCTAGAGCCACAACTCCGCCAGTATATCCGACTTCAATTCAGCCAAGACGTACGTGATGGTTTCGCCACCTCAAAGAAAGACAACTCGATCAATGTAAGAGAACTGATGAGCGCGGTTCTCGCGGTCACTCACTGGGGTCCAGCATGGGCCCCAAAAGGTCGGGATCGTACCCATATCCGCCTGTGGATAGACAACATGAGTGCGGTAGCGTGACTCTCAAAACGCTCGAGCCATCATCGAACAGCACGAATGTACAATCGACTGATATCGCTGGCAGAGTTTCGGTACTCATTAACGTGTTCCGAACAACACATTGCAGGAGAACTGAATACAATGGCGGATGCTGGGTCAAGGGCTTGGAGCAGATTGCATCCTCTTTACAGCGCGTGGGCTAACCTATCTCATTCGTGGACACAGATCAACATCCTACCACAATTCAGGAATCGCTGGACCGCCTGGGAGACTTGCTCCGTAGATGAGCTCTTGCGGACACCACATCAATAAAATACAGATCCAGCTGGCGTCAATGGTGCGAGTTTTCTAGACAGCTCGGGTGGTCACCATGGCTCCGCCATCCAGGACGATCAAGTAACAAGAAACTGGGCTGCTTTGCCGTTTACTGTTGGAGACACGGGTGGAATCGCAGGAGACATGGCAACACATTCGGCACAATCAAGTTGAAACTCGCTAGCATTCGGTGGTTCCATCGACACTATCTGGGAATTGACCTCACTGTTTCACCCGACTTCACACTTCTGCTGCAAGGAATCAAGCGCTTGTCGCCGCCCATACACAAACTTCAGCCCGTCACGACTGCGCTTCTACGTCTACTACATCGACGAATCGATTTTCAGCAGCCGGCGCAACGTATTTTGTGGGGCTCAGTCCTGATGGGCTTCTTTTTCTTACTTCGACGCTCGGAATACCTGAAAATTGGATCTACGCGACACTTCTATTGCCTAAAGCGCAAAAATGTCTTCTTCTCCGACTCGAACGGCAGACCAACAACTGGAGTGGCAGCAATTTCCGTCACGATAGGACTTGAGGGATCGAAAAACGACCAGTACGGTCGTGGTGCATGGCGCACAATGCACAAGTCAGAAGATCCGATTATCTGCCCAGTCGCTGCATTAAAAGACATACTGTGGGCTCGAGAAGAAGTCGCAGACGATAGTATCTTCCTGTGCGGTGAGACTACCTCGGCGGACGTCGCAACCGCGCCCAAGGCAACAGCTACTAGTGCCGGAGTCTCAGCTGCCAATTACTCAACGCATTCCATCAGAATCGGGGCGCCACAGCGCTTCTTACAGGTGAAGCCAGTCGGCTATCGATCAAGCTGCTAGGGCGTTGGCTTTCAAACTGTTTTGAGCATTATCCGGTCCAAGCTGCAGAGTCGACACGATCACTCACGCGACGGATGGTAACTGGACGACCACAACCACCCCACACTTAAGGACGCGCTCGCAATTTCTCTTGGGGCCGCTCACCACGCCCTTCATCACGGCTGGGGTGGCAAACAAACACTTTGCCCCAAACGACTAAGTCCTCGCCATGGAAATTGTGGACAAGATACACAAGTACTATTAATAATAGCACTTACGTGACCGCTTTAATGGCCCGACGTTGGTAATAATCTTTTCTTGCAAATGACATAATCCGTGTCAAACCAGTTATTAAATGCGGAAATGGTTGGTGACGGCAATCTTTGCTTCGTTGCAACCTTGCACATCGGTCGAGTAAATATAATCAAACAAATCTTGACGCGTATTTCAGCATATAAGAACAAATGTTGGGTTATGCGTGCGCAGTGACTCTGGCGAGCAAAAAAAAGAAGAAAAAAAGCTCAAGTAAGACGTACATGTCTTGCTGGCCATGGCGTACATATTATCATACTTGGTGCGTTTGAGCGCAGGGCTGTAGAGGCTGTAGAGGATGGCTAGCGTGAACCAGTCTGGATCTGGATCATCCAGATCACCCGCGTCGTCGATACACTCAAGGGTTGGCAGATTATAGTGAAATCGTGAATGCAACATTTGGCATCAGTACTTCAGCGAACGATATAAAGCGACGGATACTGCCATTGCTCTCCCATTTCGCATCAACATCTCGCCACAGATTGTTAGTTTCCCAGCTTAACACTATCTTATACTCAGCCGACTTTTACCTGCCTGCGGTAAGTTAAGTATGCTTAACTTGAGCATGGTGTATCGTCTATGAGTCAACTTGCTGCAGTTACGTGTCGCTCGTTTTGAGAAGGAAGAAGTAAGGCAGTCCTCCAGAGCGTCCAAGGAGGGCACATCCAAGTTTTCAGCAGTAAAGCCTTCGCCACGCTGATTAGTACCCCTCGTGTGCGTCGGTCTCC